TATTTGTTTGCCTGTGTACCACTGCACTTCATGCAAAATTTGTGTTCTTTTTGGTGATGGTTTCTTTGTCTTCGCAGATGTAAACAATTTGTATATTTTTCGCGCTTGTACTTTGCGATGACTGTCATTTCACTACATTTCTGTTAATGTACCACCTGCATGTACAATCTGTACGCCCACCTGCTATGGTCTCGGAATGAGACTGGCAGTATTGAAAATAAATAAATAAATAAATACCAGTGTGGGTTTTGAGAGGCTCGGTCCACCACTGACCACCTTGTCTGTATCGAGGCACAAATTCGCGACGCTTTTGTTCATAAGCAATTTTTTCTTTCTGTGTTCCTCGATATGGAAAAGGCATATGACACTACATGGCGCTTTGGCATTTTGCCAGACTTGTCACATTTAGGTGTGTGGGGTAGAATGCTGACAATCATCGAAAGCTACCTGTCTGACCGTACATTCCGTGTCCGAGTTGGCACTGTCTTATCTCTAATATTTGTCCAAGAAACAGGAGTGCCACAAGGAGTTGTATTGAGCTGCACACTTTTCTTAGTAAAAATTAATTCCTTGCACCTGTCTCTCCTTTGTAATATTTTTACTTCATATATGTCGATGATGTACAGATTGGTTTCAAATACTGCAACATCTTAATGTGCCAACGTCAAGTTCAACTAAGGTTGAACAAGGTATCTCAATGGGCAGATGAGAATGGTTTTATACTCAACGTGCGAAAGAACACATGCGTCTTGTTCTGCGGAAAGAGGGGCCTCCATCTTGACCCCGACATTGACCTGCATGGTCAACTTCTGTCACTGAAGACCGAGCACAAGTTTCTTGGACTAATATTAGACACAAAACTAACCTTCATGCCACATATCAAGTATTTAAAAGACAGGTGCTTAAGAACAATGAATATTTTGAAAGTGTTGTCATGCACTATGTGGGGTAGTGACTAGTAATGTCTAATGAATTTATATAGAAGCGTCGTACGCACACCCCTAGATTACGCTGCTATAATCTATCAGTCGGCAACACCATCAGCTTTGAAGATTCTCGACCCTGTTCACCATCTAGGCATTCGCCTCCCTACGGGTGCTTTTCGAACTAGCTCTGTGGAGAGCCTGTACGTGGATACGAATGAATGGTCGCTCCACCTACAAAGATGTTACCTGTCTTTTTTGTACTTTTTGAAGCTGAAGGCAGACAAGAAACACCCCTCTCATTTCACAATTAATGATTTGTCTTGTTCTGGCTTGTTCGAGAACCGTCCTTCGTTTAGGCAGCCCTACTCGCTCCGTGTAAAAGGCCTGGCCGAAGTAACAGGTGTGCCTTTTCTCGAACACAGTTTGATGGCTCCTGCAGCATATCTGCCACCATGGCAGTGGCAGCTTATAAACTGTGATGTCTCTTTTGTTGAAGTCACAAAACACACACCACTTGCACATATACATACATACTTCCTAGAACTGCAACATAAATACACATGCCCTGACTTATTTGCTGATGCCTCAAAAGTCCAACACTTCTGTGTCATATGCAGCGGTAGGCCAATTCTTTTCCAAGGCCGGCGTTCTTCATCCTGATGCAAGCATTTTCACAGGAGAAGCTTACGCAATACTGGCGGTCGTAAAACACATCAGACAAAATTGCAAAAAGCGGTAATATACACAGATTCCCTAAGTGTGGTCAAAGCCCTGAAAACTCCTAAAAAACACGAGAACCCCGTGCTGGTGTCCAAAGCTGGTGTCGAAAGTGTACAAAGGTGAATATTCCCTGAAAAGATCATGTCTCTAGGCCTAATACTAATATATCTCAGTATCGGGCCCCATGTCCCCCCTTAAATGACTGCTGAAAGCCATATTAAGGTTTGCACTTGTGCTGTTAGCAGCTTTATAAAGTGACACTTGAGTTCTAATTTCTTGGACACTTATAGTACAGGTGGAGCTTTTAAAAGTCAGTTCTTGTGTGTTTGGCCAAAATGATCTTGTGTCCTGGAAGAATATTCTTGGATTGAAGATTCAGTTCTTGCATGACTCAGCACCAGACAGGTTGAAGTATTTGGCTGACAGTGCTTTGGGAAATGTGAAAATATAGGAACTGTACATACAGATATGATTGTGGCAGAGTTGCATGATGTTGCAAATACAGTTGAATCTCGTTATTTCGAACACGCTTAATTTGAACTTCGGTTAATTCGAACTCACGATGAGGTCCCGTCAAAGCTATCTGTATTCCAATGGGTGAAAACGCCCGGTAATTTGAACGACCAAGCACTTCTGACGGTTAATTCGAACATACCGCGCTCTGAAAATACTCTTGGCACGCGCCGCCCAATCCCGCGGCGGCGGCACCTCCGACGCCTCAACGCTGCGTGAAAAAAAGGAAAGGAAAAGGAAAAAAAAGGCTGCGAGTGGAATGTTTGCTCTCTTTAAAATGTCGATCTGCGACGCGCCCGTGTCACGCTTCTCCTTTTTCCGTCCCTGCCATGTAAAGACTCTCCTCCTTCCAACGCAGCGTGGGAAGAGAGAGAGGAAAATAAAAAAGAAAGCCGTCGCTGGGTTGAATGATTGTGTGATAGAAAGAAAAGAAAAAGGCACTAGAGAGCTTTAGTGCTGGGTACGCAAGCTCTTGGGGCGTTGCGGGCTTTGGGGCGCGCGGCGTTGCGTACCCATCCCATACCCAACTGGAATGCCTTACAGAGGCGCGTACGCAAACGCAAGCCGCACGAAGGTCACACGCGCTCGCAGCGCCATAGCGTCTTAATTGTTACGTAAGTATTATTTTATTATGTTTACGATTTAAAATGTTAAATTAAGCTTACATAGTGACATGAAGTAAACTAATTTCAATAAATTATTTTGAAATAATATGACAGTTATCCACACGGAATAAAAAAAACTTTTTCCTATGCGCCACATTTACGACTGAAGCCGGCACCGTCGATGCCAAGCAATCCAGACGGCCGGTCGTAGTCCAACAAGTGCGACGACAGAGCAACGATGTAACGTGTAACTCTGTGTAACTTTTAGCTTGTACGTATACTTCTCTACGCTAACCCGATACCAGTTTGCGTTTACCGTCTTACCGCAACGTGCCTCTACCAACGTTTTGAGCTCATCATACGTAAATATGTATGCCTTTACGTTTTCGTAAACTATAAATGGTGATGCTAACTGCATTTAACTTATGTAGGAATGAATCACCGTTGCGGCAAAATCACGACGAGACTTTTTATCGCAAAAAAAGTGAAAAATACAAGGTTGCTGTAACGATATTGTCGACATCTTGTGACACTTCGTGCAACTACAGTCATGAACATGTTGGCTTACGCGTAATGTTTTTCAGGGGAAAATGAATAAAAAGGTTACTAATTTGTAATAACGCCGCTGCGCGGTTTTCGCACCAGACGTACAATGCACAATGTTTCTGCAAAAACAATGTGATTGCCTGCGTCACTATGGCCACGCTAGATGGCGCCATCTATTCAGCTGGTGGGAGGGCTGGCATAATTTTAGTTTTTATGATCCAGGCCATTCTAGCTTTGGTAATCTGGCTGAAACGATGTAATCGCTATTGGTGCTCGCACTTTGGCTTATTTTTAACTAGACAGCTAGAGTATTCGCAGTGCGGATACCGTGAGTTCCTGCGAAGGTGGACCTTTCAAGGCGGCCGATCCATGCTGTCCGAGATTTGGTGCCTTTGTGCCATGATATTTGTATAGTGGCTATCCACTATAATATTTGTGCTTTAAACTTATAAGTGAAAGTGGTGGCACTGGCCAGCCTAGGCTTTGCTCGCCGTGAAGGGTGAGTGACATCACGGGTAACATGATGCGCCAGGGCAGCTTATCTCCGCTAGGAGGCCAGTGGTGGCAGCGTTGTTTATGGCCGCGCGGACGCATCGCCTCAGCGATCTTGTGACGCATCTGTTTGGGGTTTCGCGCATGCGCAATGCCGCCCCAACGTCCTGTTTACGCAAGCCGCTTGGGTACCCAGCACTAAAACTCCCTACTATCTTCTGCAGCCCTTGCCCCTTGCGGAAGCACGGTTCTGAGCCTTGAGGGGGGGGGGTTCTCCTGTGCTGGTGCCGCGCTTCCCCTTTGCCTGCCACGTTACCCTTCTCCTTTCAACAACGCTCGCGAAGAGAGAAAAAAAAAAAAAAAAATACTGCCGTGGAGTGTTTGTTTTCTTTGAAATACCGATCTGCTTCTCTCCGTGTCTAGATGCTCCTCCTTTCTCGTTACGTGCTGGCCATGCTGCGGCTGTGTAGCGGAGAACGGGAGGCTCTGCTACGTACCACCACCACCACCACGCAGCAGTTGTCGTCGTCTTTAGAAAGTGTCGGCACTGGCCATTTTTGTGCGCAACTTCTCTTGCCAGGAGAATGCTGAAACCGAAGTAGAAATGCTTTGCAAGCTGCGTACGAAATTGATTGACTTGCTGCAAGGCAAACAGTGCAGATGCGCATCACCGATTAATTCAATAAATACCGAATGTCCTGTGATTTGTGAATAAATACAAGTCTTCTTGAACTTTCCCCTTGTGTGTTCGCTCAATGCACATGCGCCACTGCATAAAGAGCCGTTCATTTATTTAGCTTTCATTAATTCGAACTTCTTTTAATTCGAAAAATTTTCAGGCCTCTTCGAGTTAGAATTATCGAGATTTGACTAATATTATTGCCCAAAAACATTTCACCTTCAAATGGCTAGCACTACAATATTTTTTCACTGCCCCTTGTATTGTGTTTGATGACCTTGTGCTTATCAGGCCTCTTCGAGTTCGAATTATCGAGATTTGACTAATATTATTGCCCAAGAACATTTCACCTTCAAATGGCTAGCACTCCAATATTTTTTCACTGCCCCTTGTATTGTGTCTGATGACCTTGTGCTTATCGTTATGGCATGTTCAAATGGCACGCTATGGTTTTACACTTGATATTGCCTTGTTGTGTCCTTATCTGCTCTATTTATAAGGTGCTGTTTTGTAATGCAGAGGGGGAAGTGGTGGCTGAGAGAAAGAGCAAGGAAGCAGCAGTGCAGGAAGTTGAACCTGTTACTGTTGCACCAATCCACTCTCCTGGGGGCTGCAATGAGGGGGTCGTTGAGAGTGAGGAAGAGGGCGCTGTTCATAGCCCAGAGCCTGCATCACAACAGCACGTGAGTATCACATATCAAGTTCCAGTTCGAAAGTGGGGAAAAATTAACTATAATTTAAGCCAGTGGTTCTCAGCCATGGATGTGTTGGGGGAACGCTTGTGAGGGGTGGTACGTAGGTAAATTAACACAACTGGAGCGTGAAAAGGTGCCTTTTATTGCTACCAAAAGCATCAAACAAACGTGCCACATCACTTCATTTTGGACACTTCAATACGGCACAGTCACGCTTAAAGAAAAATGCGGGTGAGGGTTTTGCGGATCATAGGAATGGCTTCGAGGACCGTCCCCCTAGGGCCCGCGGACCCCCATTTGAGAACCACTGATTTAAGCAAATGTAGATATTATCTCTTGTGTGCATGCTAAAAAAAATAAAAAAATGGCAGAAATTGACTCTAGCTTTCACTACAATGCCCCACCTGGCTGAGAAGTTCTTGTACCATGGTAAATGTTGTAATTAAGAAAGAGTGAATGCTTTCAATGATAATGCCTCATTGTTGAGCTTGGCTGGAACAAGTATTTCCCCCCCCCCCCTTTTTTTTTGAGTCACCATTTTTATTTGCCGAGTCTTGCAGTAGGTAAAGCGGCATTGTAATTTTATGGTAAGTTATCAGCTCTCGGCTTTCCACATAATTGGCTGTTGTTTGCTACAGTTGTACTTGCTTACATTGAACAGTCTTAATCATCTTCGATATGTTTAGAATATGTAAAATGCTTTATATATCAAATTACTTTTATATAGATTTTTTTTTGCGATTCCTTTCAGACTCGATATTAAATAAAACTCTCTTAAATGAAATCGCTGCTTAAATGAAACAACTGCCCCTAATATGTTTGGTTTCATACTTGAATAATATACCTCTGTTTATCTCTAAATAAAAAACTCCTCTTAAAGAGAACACATTTTCCTGGACGCTTCAGGTTTCTTTTAAAAAGAGTATTGTGCTGTATCTGGTTTTGACGGTATCGCTACTTCTCCATCGGCTGAAGTGGCTGTTATGGCACACTCAAACCTTGATATGACGAACCCAAATATAGTGAAATATCGGTTATAAGGAAGTTAATCAAGAATTTGCAATAGCATACCTGCTAGGTCTCCGGATTTGCCCGGGAGACTCCCGAATTACGACCGCTTTGTACGATTGTACGATCGTTAAAGAAATCTCTCGGAAGTGCCCGCTTGTTTGTCCCAAAGCGGGCTCCAGTTTGGCAACCTAGCACAAATGCACCCGCAGGAGTGCCGATTGTCATCGTCATCGTTGAAGAGCTCGAATGTGCCTAGTCGACCAAGCGGAGCAGTCGCAAAAGCTAGCGAGCCTGCCAGTACTTCTCCGTAGTTCTACGAGTATGTGAATGCAGTGACGCCGCTCTGAGCTGTGAGACGCAAGGCAGGTGTGGCGGTGCTAGCGTCGAATTCTGCTGTATTTTTCACACTGATGTCGCTGAGTGATAGCGCTGACACCGCTGAAACACTGACTTGCCATTATTTCTCTGAGCATGTGCTTGTGTTCTTGTGTCGCAAGCGCTGTTTGCGTGGCTAGCGCTCTGTCGCATTGCTGTTAGCCATGGCACTCAGCAAAGAGCAAAAAAATTATCTTCAGGTGTTCTTGAAGCAGTATACTACATAGTTCGCTTGTGTTAACGCCTTGTGGAAAGATGAGCGCCGTGCGTTCTGCACCATCTGTAAGTACGACATCAGTATATCCCACGGCGGCATGTCTGACGAGGTTGCGCACGTTTCGTCGAAGAAACACACCAACAACGTTCAGTGCCAGGATAAACGGCATCTGTTTGCAACAACAAATATGAAGTGTCAGAGCAAATGTTTCGACAAGTAGTCTTGTCTCCTGTTAGGCTACAATGTCATTTGTTGGCATGTGAATAGTCAGAAATTATTAATTGCATTACAAAATGAACACCCCCACAGTGGGCATCAACAGGCCTTCCGACATTTAGTTGTGCCTTGTGACAGTTTACAAACTACACCCAGAACTGTTTTGTCGTAATTAACTGTGTTTAGCTCATAGAAGTTTACAAAAAGATGCGCCAAAGCTCATAAGGCTACACTCCATTGCTTGCTTTGCACGTATGTTCAATGGGCTTCTAAAATAATAAATCATAAAGGTGATGAGCACTTGCAGCACAGCTTCTTCAAACACGTGAATGCTGTCGTGATGAGCAAGATTGTGTCATTGGATGTGGTACTTTTTTTTTTTTTTTCATATAGCAGAGAAACGTCCCACGTTTCTTTGAGCACATCTGCTTCTGTTTAATTTAGGTTGTCATAGCTATAGTGTCTACCGCTAAGACTTGAAATTCTATGCACTACCGTACATACATGATCTTGACTTATCCACAGCCACACTGGAAGATGGTACGTATTTCAAGCCCTAACCTCTAAAGGTAGCAGGGAGAAAACAACTTCAGCTTTCAAGCACAAGTATACTGAAAAAGTAAACACAATAACAAGTGTGTAATAAATGTGACCTTTATTGATCCAGTATTTGGACAGATTCACATCGTGTACCTCTATAGTGTACTGTAAGAGCACCAACAAAGATGTACAAACAACAAAAATGTACAATGTATGCCTAAAGCTTATTTTCTTAGAATTTAGCCTTTTCGATCTGTAAGCACACGCCTGTTCCTTGCATACATGTTCGCTGCATACTCAGCAGATTGGGCATTACCTGCGACGAGAAATTCTAGCTGTAGTAACTGTGTAACTTAACTCCAACAATTAATGTAGCAAGCCTGAAATATTTTTTAGGCCCATCACCTAAACACATATTACCTATTATATGGGCTCATGGCTGAGAATTGAAACTAGTGCCTACCCTGTCGACACGACATTGCACAATTGTGAAGTAACTCTATGTAACATTACAGAGTGAGAAAAATTCAGAACTGCATGCATCCGCAATAGTTAATTTAACAAACTTAGCAAAACTACATTGCTCTCATTGCACGAGCTATTTATCGGTAATGTGCAAGTTTCCTTCCCGATTCCACATCATGCATTCACTTCACTTCAATATCAACACTACAGGACAAGCGCCGCATCTGACGGCAGAATTGGACCCTTGTCCTAAAGCCACGCTGTTAAACTCGAATGCCGCAACACAATGAGAGCGACGTTCATTCAGTGATCTCAATGTTCAGTTATATGCTTATGCTTGTCAGCTTTCAAGAGTCTTTACACATGGGTTGAAAGCTTTCGATGTGCATGAGTGACTTGTTTTGGTCAGACCCTACCGTATACATTTGTTGTACCGGCTTGGACACTCGCAGTAAACGATGCAAACCTTACTTGATTGACGTTTTTGCCCGTCTATGCCAGTTAGGTCACCTGGCAATAATTACAGACGCGAAGCGTGATTTAGCAACGAAAAAAAAAAAAAAAAACAAAGGAAGCGAGTAGCGCGAACCAGCCGCGGGCCCCCCCACCAGCAGCAAAAGAATGCAGCTGTTTAGTCATGATGATAGTACTTCCAGCGTCATCGCGCCTCGCAGTATTGCAGTTCAGTACACCGCCGCTACGCATTTGCATGTTATTTTGATACAACAACCCAAAGGTACAGTTTCCGTTCTCTAAACTGGTGGGTGTTCTGTGGTTAAAACGTCCCAGACAGACTCGCGCTATGACAGCCGCCGTAGTGGAACGACTCCGTGTGGTTTCGACTTGACATAAGGTTCTTCACCATGCAGAGGTATTGCAGGGTACACGGGTCTCTAGCATTTAGTCTTTATCGAAATGCGAGCCTCGCGGCCATGATTGAACCCGCGACTTACAGGTCGGTAGCCAAGAATCATGTGAATCTAATGTCTTCAAAAACTGCTCGAGCAAGCAAATTTGAGAGTGACACATCAGTGAAAGTGTTGACATATAGTCGTATATATGGCAGTCACCCTAAACCACCTGCAGTTGGGGTCTAAGTTGCGAAAGTGCAGCCTATGTCGACGCAATACAATACTCTTTAATCAAAGCTACACAACAAAATATTTTAAGAAGATAAAACACAAAGTGTCCAAGGGCTGCGGTGCAGACTTGTGGTGGACAGCCCCATTAGGTGGGGCGGGTGATCGTGGCCAACCGAAGAGCAGTCAAGAAGGCTCACGACGCCAGGTTTCTCGGACCATGGCACAGATGGAGTAACCCGACGCCGAGCAGCACGGTCTGAAAGTTGACAAAAGCACTCCAACGTCATTTCACTAACCACGCTTACGTTACTTTGTACTCATGAGGTGAAATCTTGGAAAGGTCTCAAACCAATTTTATGCAATGCATAAGTTAGTATATAAATCACCGTGAAGCGAAACCACGCAATTCCTTACTACAATGCAGATATCGCGTTGAATGCTGGGAACCGATCGCGTTGAATGCCTCTGGGAGAAAAATTAGCTTGGCAACAGTATTCGGCTGATGGCAAAAGCGAGGGAAGTGGAGCAATACTGACTTAAACGCGATTTCTACACCAGAGGGTGAGCCTTACAAGGAGAGAGCGCTTACAGTAAAAGCTCGTTAATTCGAATTCCATGGGAACGCTGAGCAATTTCGAATTAAACAAAATTCGAAATAATGAAAGTGAGCAAAAATGGGTGGATTTCGGGGGTGGGGTCACGAAAAATATTTATTGGCCAAAAAAGTCGGTGATGACCATCTGCTTCTTTTCTCTGAATGCCACAGCTGCGGCTCCCTGTTCCAGCGCGCGGACGCGGCGCAGGGAATCCTCTTCACCCTCTTCAAAGCTGAAGAAGAGACGCGTCACATTAAGTGCCTCCATCACCGCAGAAGCTGACGGGCGCACAGGCGCTGCGTCATTTTCGTCTTCCTCACCTTCTGGCTCTTCAGCATCAGGCTGCGCACCGGCTACTTGAGCGATAATGTCTTCATCAGTCAGGGCACCACACACCGATGCACCGGTGTCAACTTCAACATAATCGGCAAAACGTACGCCCCGAAGAGTGTCGCGCAATGCCACTGGCATGAGCTCCTCAGCCCC